TCATGCATTAATGAAATAAAGTACATGTATTCAAGTTTTTAGGGTTTTTTAATCGGTTAATTTAAATAAAATTTATGAACTTTTTTAACTGACTACTTTGATTCCGAAAACAAATTTTATTTTTCAAAGTGTTATTATTTGCATGAAAATTTTTTTTAATAAAAACGGCTATGTCACTCTATAAAGAATATATTAAAGAAATTTGTGTTTCAATTTTTATGTCAATCGGTCAAATATTTTTTGAGTTATCAATATCAAATGCCATGCAAAAAGCATAGCTACACATGAATCGACATATCTCCGCCATTAAAATTTTTTTTTTGATGTTCTTTGATTTTTGAAAACTTAAATATATAAACTTTATTTGATTAATACATGAAAAAGTTGTATCATTAAAAGTTTCGCCAAAAAAATCATTTAAAACCGTAAAAATTGTTTGCGTCAGTTGGGGTAAATGGGGACAAAATCTCTATTTTTCACAAATTACGAAAGTTTTAACCTTTAAAAGGTAACATTTGCGGGTTTTTTTTTAAGTTGTTGTTATAATAAATAAACAAACCACGTGTTTTTTTTTATTAGCACGTGCTCGAAGCAGAAGGATTTTTAAATTCAAACACCATTCGTTTGCACAATTACTGCAAGTGGCGCTACTGTTGCTAAGGGACTCAGAACATTACTCTTGCAAAAAAAAAGACAGACTTTCCGTTAGAGCCATGTATAGGAGATCCACCTCCTTATTACTACTCCGTGGAGAATTCAAACAAAATGATCAACTCATCTATTGAGTTTGTGTTGGCGAATTGAAAAAAATTAAAGCTCAAAAGTTTCTTCATTGAATTAGTATATACGAATAGAGAGTTTGGAAGTTTAATACAGCTTTGTCGAATTCAGGAGAATTGCAACATAGCTCAATACTCAATACTCAATACTTTCAAGAGAAATAAATGTATTTCCCATTTAACAAATTATGATGTGCATAATAATGGAATATTTTCACAAAGTGGCTGCACTTCATGTAACGTCCGGATACTTCGTGAAGTGCCATATTTCACATATAAATAAATTTACTCAAATAAATCCTGCAAACATAACTATTATTCGGTGAAAGGGGCCTTCTTGACTTTCGTTCTTTATGGCGTTTCTTTTATTTTTGTCAGTTCATTGTTAATTATTTTCTAAACGCACATAATGCTTAATTTACATTTAGATCTTAATTATCACATCATTTACTTTTTTTAGACCACTTGAATGTTCCCTTTTAATGAAATCTCGTGATAGTACCCGCATATTTACCCTATTATTGCCATGTATTTTTTAACTACACCCATTTGTGTTCCGCATTAGAATTATTAAAATTTTGCTGCACGTTATCAAAAAGTCTAAACACTTTAAGAATGCATACAACATATTGAATGGTTTGTTTTAAGTGTCTGGAAATTACTTTAATAATCATACTCAATATATAAAATGTATAGTCTGCCATCTTGTTTTTCTCTTACTATTACGAGTAAAATGTTAAATGTTATTTAAAGTGATAAACCGCAATGTTTATAACATAGTTGATAGTAACCGATAAACCAATTAAGTTGTTATCGAATCTCCGTTACCAACAAAAAGCCAACATAAAGGCTTTAAAGTTTCCTAGCCACAGACAAGATACAAGAAGTAGCCATTCCCGCAGTCTGGCCTACGTTTAAATCACAATAGAGATCTATTTTCTATACATAATAATCAACTCATATTACAAGTTATAAAATGTTGCATAATTCCATTGTGTTATTATAATGATTTTATTAGGTATTTAAACTTTTTATTAAGCTTAATACGTCATCGGACTGCTCAAATCTTGGAATCATCATGAACAGTAATTTAGTCCGAAGAGCGTCACTTGGTATCTTTCTCCAATAATAATAAGTTTGTCTCTCTCCCGGAAATAAGAGTTGGGTAAATCAGGGTTCATAGTTTTCTTCAGATAACCGCTAAGGTCCCACGTTGAGCGTCAAAACTGATGCCGTCAACTTTGTTCTAATTTTAATTTCGAAATGAAAAGTCAAGATAAAGATGAATCATATTTTTGACTCTCATGAAGTTTCGAAAACTTCTGTAAAAAGAAAAAAATAAACAAAACGAAAAAATTTCTGACTCTAGAGTTTCCAAAAATTCTTGAAAAAAGGTGATGTATATATATAGGTATATATATATATATATATATATGGGCAGCTTTAATTAATTTGTAGAATTAAAATTCAGGTATTCACAATAAAAAGAATAAAAAATGTCTATTAAATTGATTAGTTAAAAATCTAGATTCAAACTAAATAGGAAAATGATATCACTGTAATAGAATAAGGTTTCGACCAAAAAATTCTCTTTTACATTTGCATTTTTTAACATTTTTTGAGTTTTGCTTAAAATTTTGAGCAAAACCCTTTTTTTGTGTGTGTTATTTATTACTAGAGGTTCTGATAAAGAAAATGTGTTCGTGTTTTTTTTTCGTCAGAATTATGGGTGTACGAAGAATTGTAAATAAGTGAGAATAATATTGTGCACCCAAAAAAATAAATTGTAACAACGAATGAAATCAAATACTACATTTTCAAGTTTCTGCAATAGACTGTTGCAAGTCCTGAGTACTAAATCCTCTCAAGTGTTGGGCATGGTTCCAAAACTGAATGATACTCACACCCAACGCGCTTTTCGTGCCAATGTACCTAGTAAAGACCGTTTATGACCTACTCATTCTTAAACATAATTAATTATTATAAAACTCGCATAGTTGCTTATTATTTTCTTATAAACAGAAAATGAAATGACTGAAAAAAATTAAATTGATTTATAAAATTGAATAATATTTATATATTTCAGTTAATAAAATATAATTTTTCTTTCTAGTTTTTATTGCCTTTCTTCATGTTGGAGAAAAAAATAAACCTAATATTTTATTTATTTTAGTGTTCAAGACAAACACAATTATAAATTATAAAAGTTTGCAAAAAAAAAGTTCGACATTCACTGAAAAAAGTCGTTCACTTTTAGAATATTAAAATAAAATCTGGTATCTGATGCAACGTGCGCGTTAGTCATGCTTGACCCGGTGATCCATTGCCTCGATCTCCTATATGGAAGAAACAAGATCCAAGCAGGCAGTCAACAGCTTTTAGATTCCCTTTCATCAGGTAGAATTAAAATGTGAAGTAAACATGTTTGAAAGATAGTATGATTTGTCTTCTTCTTGAACTTGAACATTGATTGGAAATTTCCTCTATAAAACGTATATTTCTTAAACGAAATAGCAATTCAAAAAAAAAATTAATACAAAATAATTTTTTATTTTTCTGTTTTAAAAATTGTTTTAAAAACAGTATCTATTTCAAATAATTTATCAGTTGTTTCCTTTTAAAATTATATATAGTTTTTGTTTGCTACTGTGAGATTTTAAATATCGACTGTAAAAAATTTAACCGACCCTGAAATAAGTAACCGTAACAGACAGTATTGTGCTGTTTGACGTAATACTCATGAAACCACTTCGAAGCAAAACTTGTTTTACAAGTAAGTTTTATGAAAGTTCAAAGACATTGTTAACTATATTCAAATAATTTTTACAATTATATAATTTTCAAGCTTACTATTTAGAGGTTTTTCTGATCGCCGAATACGAATCTATAATATCAAATTTTTTTAAATTTAAAACGGCAAATCTAATTTTACGAATAAATTTTTAAAAAATCCGATAAATATTTAAAACTTCTTCAGCTGTATTAGATTCGCCATTTTGAATTTTAAAAACTGATGTCTGATTTGGATTCAGCAACCAAAAAATGTGTACCACCTTACTACTACATCGTTCCTACAGCTCACACTTACGACAAGTATACTAGTAGTAGTAGTGGTGGGGATGGTTTCTGTAGTCCGTGCTGGAACGCGATTAACATGGTCATGATTAATGCTTTATAACAAAAAAACTAAATAGAAAAGTACAATTTTTAACTTTTGTATCTGAAAGAGCAACTCAAGATCTATCGACTGATATCAAAAACTCAATTTTCATTTTTTTGCAGCTAAGGTCCCTTTCCTCATGGAACGTCACATATGCACATTAAAGTTTGAGATTAATATGTACAATCTCTAAAATTGAATCAGTGAGATTTCACTGATGAAATAGTTGGAATTTAGCAACTAAGTCACTTCAGTAAAATTTCTACTGAATTTCAGTCATATTTCACTGATAATGTAGGATTCTTAAGAGCATTTGAACCTTCGTGACGTCACAAATCATGGCGCATGACACGCAAACTTCTCAGGTATGTGAAAAGCACAATTTTGAATATTTTTTAAAAAAACCTTTTGGAAAATGTTCAGAGAAACATAGACTATGTCTGTTATGTGCGAAAAATTCAAAATTTTGCGTATAAAACGTTTTTTAAACAATGTTTAAGTTGGTTGTCACAAGTAAGGAAAAATACACGAATTGCTTATATGTAGGCATTGTTTAAAAAACGTTTTAAACGCAAAATTTTGAATTTTCCGCACATAACAGACAGAGTCTATGTTATTCTGAACATTTTCCAAAAGGTTTTTTTAAAAAATATTCAAAATTGTGCTTTTCACATACCTGAGAAGTTTGCGTGTCATGCGCCATGATTTGTGACGTCACGAAGGTTCAAATGCTCTTAAATGTTTAAATCAGTAATAATTGTACTGATTTTTAGTGAAATGTGACTGAATTTCAGTGGAAATCTTACTGAAGTGATTCAGTTGCTAAATTCCAACTATTTCATCAGTGAAATCTCACTGATTCAAATATAGAGAATAACCTGACATTATCTAAATTTACTAATTTTCCTAAAGTATTTAAGGTTTGAGGATATGTTCAGCCCAGATAACCTAAATTAACCATAATTTTTTCTTGTCACGGAAAAAAGAAATTTCCCTTTATATATATTAAATATTTTTTAATATCATCAGAAGAAATATAAATTTTATTTTTCTGATTTCAGGTCGTTGGTGCTTCTTATATTTATTTGTGCAACATATACAACTGATGTCTCAGCTAGTCCTGTAAGTATTTTTCTTATACTCCACTAATTCAAAAAAAGGACATTCCATTATAGATAAATTATTATTATTTATTTAAAAAGAAAGAGAAAAATCAGAGAAATGAAAAAATCAAATAATTAATTTTATATTAGTTTCTGAGGCAAATTTTTTTTTATTTTATTTTATTACAGATTGTAAAAAATGGTACTTTGGATGATGTTGGTAAAAAATATCAAATTATGTTCCTATCCCTGATTAAAATTTGAGACTGATTCCGGATTAAATTCAGACAGATAAGTCTAAATTATTATATGAAAACAATGATCCGCATTAGTCCAGACGAAAAGATGGATCAAAAGTAAGTCTTGAATAGTCTGGAATTTACATGAAATCAATCTGTAATTAATCCGCAACAATACGAATTTGGTCTGATCAAAAATCTATTCCGAAATTAATTCAGAAAATTTGGGATTTATATATCTAAGGATTTAGTCCGACCTAAAATCTTAATCCAAAAAGAGATCGAAATATTCTGAAATCTATATGTAAAGAATCCTGATTTCATAAAGAATATTGAGTCATAAAGGATCCAGAATAATCCAAAATTTTTTTATGTAAAATCTGCAGTTAGTTAAAAATTTCTATCAGATTTAGTATTTTCTACAATGTTTTTAAAAGTGAAAAAATAATAATTTGTTAAAATTTTAAGTATTTGTTTCTGCGATCGAACATTATTTGCGAATTTATGCCTCTAAAATAAGTAATTTCCTTTTGTGGTTTTGTAACTGAAACGTAACAATGAGGACTTTATAGCTATCAATTCGATATATGAGAAGGTAAGCGATCCTAGGATTTGGTTTAAAATCGCGAAGGTCTTGAAGGTGGACGCCTTGACCTTGAAAGTGTAGGTAAAACCAGGTTGAACTGCAGGGGCTTGGACGGAACGAGCCTTGGCGGCATTCCTGTATGTTTTATTACCTTCTCGCTTTGACGGTGGTTCAGGTTTCAATACTCTCGTCGTAGCCAGACACCATCTTCTCGTCCAATTTGCCTTTGTATTGCTGCAATCACTACGTCTACTTTTTGCAATCTCCAATCACTCCTTACAATCTGATAAAAGCCCATTATCGACACTTTTCATTCTTATCCTTCCATATTTCAACTTGGAATTACAATTTTGAGTTACATTATTTTTTCTTTTTCAAATGGGAACTTTAATCATTCCAAAAATTACTGTGGCATAATTTTCTAACAGAAGTATTTTGTTTAAATTTATTTTTTACATTGAAAAAAATTTGCTTCGCATTAATGACTATCAACCATAACAACTTTAAATCTAGTCAGCGTAATCTAGCATCCTAGTCAATTTAGTTATGTAGCTTGGTTAATATTATCAAAGTCGATTTAGTAGAATTGACCCCTTGTTTCCTAGTTATATTAACTAAGGTGTTTGGTTAATATCACATGTATATATAGTCAATTTTGCTAAAGTTTAATTAGTCAAAGTGATTCTAGCCAATGTAACTAAGATACCTGGTTATTCTGATAAGCTTCCCTAGTCATTCCGACTATTTGTCGAAATCAACTTTGACCAAGATTGCCTTGTGGTATACGGGGGTTAGGAATTTTTTTAAGTGTATTTATCAAAAGTATTCTTTGTAATTACTTCTCTTTGTATAATTTTAATCGATCTAATTTCAAAAATAGAAAAACTTTTTTTTTAAGTTAAATATCAATAATGAAAATTTGATTAGATTTTATTTCTTGCAATTAATGGAAATCATTTTATGTGATTCATAAAATCATTGCAACTATTAAAAAAATAGTTAACATTAAAATAAAACATAAATAATTTGTCATTTCAAGAACATTTAGCTTCCATTTATGTTTCCAAGATGATTTTATGACTCACTATAAAATGGCAAAAAGTTTAAGTAAAAATGTAAATGAAACATCTATTTAAAGTTTGATAAAGTGGTGGCAGTAAAGATTTGTGCAAAAATTGGAAAGAATTCCTTGACATCTTCCCATTTTCTCTCTCTTCACGACATAACGACCACTTAACTTGGATTAGCTATGGTGTCTGTATAGAAGATCTTTGATGAGGGTAAAAAGCCTCGCTGGAAAGTTATCCTTTTTTATCCCATAATAATCTCGTTGCGAAACGATACGAGAAACCACAAAGCTTCGTCCACGATGGAAAAACAAATAGGAGGATTTCTTGCAGGATAATATTAACATTGAGATTTTTTTTCTTCTGCGGCGGTGCGGTTTACAAATCAACACATTGCACAGTGTGATGAACCATGATAAAAGAACGAAAAAAAATTTACTTTAATTCTATGTAATTATTCGTTTTTCCTTAGTCATTAGCTACTATTAGATTATTCATTAACAAGATTCTGACAAACTATAATAACTTTTAATTTCTTTATTTAAACGTTGATTAATGATTTGAATATTTAAAAATCGATAGGGGAACTGTGAAATTGTACCAAAATATGAAAGTAATACATTTTTATTGACACAAGTCAAATGAATCGGGAACTTGTACGATTATATATAAATCCATTTCAATTTCCAATTCCATTTCCACTACCACTTTTACTAATTTTCACTCTCACTACCTTTCTTTGGGGGGGGGGTCTATGGGGCTTCCCCATCCACTTCCACTTTTTCCGATTTCGATTCCCATTTCCGTGTGCACTTCCACTTTCATAATACTTCAACTTTTTCAATTTCAATTCTCATTTCTACTTTTTCTAATTTCTACTACCACTTCCATTTCTACTTATCTCAATTTTTACTCTCATTCCCACTAAACAATTTTCAATTCCATTTCCTGTTTTTCAAATTTCTATTCCCACTTCCCCTTTTTCTATTTCCCAAATTTCTACTCCCATTTCCTCTTTTTCAGATTCCCATTCCCACTTGAACTTTTCCAATTTCCACTTCCATGACAACTTCCCCTTTTTCTAATTTCTACTATCTCTTCCATTTTCTCTTCCACTTTTCCAATCCCACTTACATTTCCATAGAAAAAATGAAAATAGAAGTGGGAATGGAAATTGAAAAAGTTGAAGTTGTCATGGAAGTGGGAATTAGAAAAGTGAATGTGGACATGGAAGTGGGAATGGAAATTGGAAAAAGTGGAAATGGAAGTGGGAGTAGAAACTAGGAAAAGTGGAAGTAGGAATGGAAATTGGAACAGTGGAAGTTGTCATGGAAGTGGGAGTGAAAATTGGAAATGAAATTAGGAATGAAGTGGAGGAGAAATAGGAAAATTTGGAAGTGGAAATAAAATTTGAAGTGGGAATGGAAATAGGAAAAAGAAGAAATAGGTGTAGTACATAATTGGAAAAAGGGGAAGTGAGAATGGAAATTTGAAAAACAGGAAATGGAATTGAAAATTGATTAGTGGGAGTGGGAGTAAAAATTGAAATAAGTGGGAAGTGGAAATTGAAAAAGTGGATATGATAGTGGAATTGAGAGTAAAAATGGGAAAAAATGGAAATAGATATGAAATTGGGAATGGACATTGGAAAAAGTGGAGATGGAAGTTCGAAGTGGGAATTAAAATTGGAAAAAGTTTTATTGAATAAAGTGTAAATGGAAGTGGGAATCAAAATAGATTTATATAATCGACCCCCCGGTTGTAACAATGTGTTAATTACTTAAAACTTGTTCACTTCCTACTCTGTATTTAAGATTCTACCTCTACTTACTATTTATTCTAAAACAATCAATTAGTCATGCTGCAAAAAATCTTGCTGGTACTTTCCAGTTGCTTGGACAAATTGCATGATTGCGCACGAGCAAGTCTTGATTATACTCATTTCACCCATTAACTTGTTACTAAAACTGTAAGAATATTTAGAAAATTGAGTAATTAAAGATTACATTCTATAAAAATTCGATCAAATGGAAAACAAATAATTTAATTTTTCTTTCACGCAAAGATTTTTAGTTTTCGTTTTGAATGAATATATTTGATCTTAGAATATCAAATATATAAAAGAAAGTAGCATAAATTCTATTTTAGGAATTATAAGTTGTTTTTGCCTTGAGATTAACGGAAAATGGTATGAAGAAAAGAAAGAACATTGCACTTCCTAAACACGTGACCCGTTTTAATATGAGCGTGAATTAGTTCTACAAGTCTTCAGAAGTCATAAACCTTTATATATTGTAAGGTCAGTTATTTCGTTCTAGTCGTCTACCCAGTTACTAATTCAAGCTTTAAAAAAACGAAGAACATAATTGAGGGGCCGGAAACAATAACAACCAGTACGCTCGGCCGGTCGCTTTGAAGCCAATCAACACCTCAAAATTGAAACTCAAAATTCGGATTTTTCAGAAGCACTACTTTATAGAAGATAAAAAAACATATCTTTTTTCTCTTAAAAACTTTTTTTTAAATCTAATATTTTTGATAATAAAAGCAAAAAGCCCAAAAAAAATTTTATCAAATGTAATGAAATTTTAAAATGTAAACGATTATTTCTTTCACAAATAGTAATAAATTTGTTTACAACTTGGTATACATACTAAATTAGGTCTAATAAAGCCATTAAAACATTAGAAAAGGCAAAAAAAATTATTGTTTTATTATTTTTAATTAAAAATTGAAAGAGGTCGATATTCACATTTTCTAACTTTTGACGATAAAATGTCTGCAGGGAATTTCAAAACTGTAAGAACTTCTCTTATAATATTTATTCACTACTATTTCAGGAAGTTTTCTGCAAAATTCCAAATCAATTCCTGTTATAGTTATTGAAAAAATTAATTTTCAAGAAAAAGCGGATAGCCCATCGCGTTCACTTAACCCGCTGGAGACTCTTTCTTGAAGTATGTGAAATTATTTCGGCTCGAATAATAACAAATTAGTGAAATAAGAAGAAAGTTATGTTTATTTTTTGTGATCAGTATCTTATATGTATGTACATTAGTATTAGAATTGTTAACAATATTAATATTAGTAACATTTATAATTCATACTTGATATTTTGTAAATATTT